TTCATCCTAGTTTGAAACTCTTCACACCCACCTCAAGAGGAGGTTCAAACCCACGACCTTCCGGTTACAAGGTGTGCAGATCGGGTGTGAGGAAAGATACTCGCCACCCTGTGACACTGCTTAGTGGTCACGCTATATCGTGAATTGTCAGAAGTGAAGTTGGGCTCGGACTATTTTATTGCTAAATCGTCTACGAGCTAGCTCGCTAGCCTTGTAACCAGAAGGTCCTGGGTTCAAACCTCCTCCTGCGGGTGGGTGGGTACTGCTGAAGAGTTCGAAACTAGGCTGACGAAGTGGCTGGCTGTCCAGTACTCTCCTTGTTGACTCTCCAATGGTTCTCTAACCGATGTCAGCTCATGATGAAATCCTGTAATCAAGTGATTGGATATATATATTAAAATATATGTATGTTAGTACTTGTCACCATTTTTTTTTCCTTCACGTTCCCAGTGGAACATAGGGCACTTCAAGCTAGTGGCTTGAAGTTTCTGTAGCAGTGTCTGTTTTACAGGATGTGGTTGCTAGCCTCATGCCAAACCTTTCCTCTTCATCAGCATTATTTCTGGCTTAGCGAGGTAAAGGAGTGCGTCTGTGGTCGGGGATCGAACCCCGGACCACTTGCCAACCAATCAGGTGGTCGGAAGTTCGATGCCCGGCCGATACACTCCTAAACCTCGCTTAGCCCGGGTAGTAAGCCCAGTGAAGACGGAAGCTTGAACGTAAGGTTAGTAACCACACACCCTGTAAAAAAATAAACACCAATGTTACTGAAACTTCCCAGGGAGTTGCCATGGGGTCACCAATATCCCCCCGGTTGGATAGGTGGGAAAACATGGCGATTGAAACGTTCACCCCCACCTCAAAAGTATGGTGGAGGTATGTAGATGACACATTCACTGTACTTAGAACACAGGATATAGACAGATTTTTTCCAACACATTAACTCAAAGGTGGAGGCATTTCAATTCACTTATGAATTGGAAAGTCAGGAACTCAGGGAGCTTCCAATGTTAGATTGCAGCGTAAAAAGGAAAGAAGATGGGAGTTAAACACTAGTGTTCATAGGACACCCACACATTCAAACAGATATTTGGACTTGCGATCATCCCAGCTTATCTATGTCAGTAATAATAGGATTGGTAAAATGTTTAATTAATATAGCACAAAAACTAAGTAGTAGCAAGGAAAATCTAAGACAGGAAGTGAGACATATAATAGAAGCCTTGAAACTTAATAATTACCCTGATAAATTAGTCAGGAAATGTATAGGGAAATGTAAAAATAAAATAATTAATGATAGTAGTGATAGTGATAGTAATAATAATAATAATATTAATGACGACATGCAAGTCAAATGTGCGAAAGACAACACCAACAATAAGGAATCTAAATCATCAGTAGTAATTCCATACAAGGAAGGAACCTCGGAAACCTTACGCAGAATTCTTAACAATTCAGGCAGGAATAAAAGTGGCTGACATTCAAACCACCCACAAACTCAATTAGAAACATGCTTTGTCGGTTAAAGGATCAATCCTGTGGAACAGCACATTAAACAAAACAATTTAGTTTATCTAATACCTTGTCTGGAATGATTGTCAGGTTAAATACATAGATCAAAGTAGTAGAACAGGGGCAGTCGGACTAGCCGAACATAAAAACCTAGCAGCAAATTCTAGATTAGTTGACCCGAATAAGATAAGAAATCTAGAGAATAGTTCAGCCGTAGATAGCACTCACTACATGCAATTACACACAACCATACAATAAGATGACAGTTTTAAAATCTAATGTAACAGCTGGGTGGAGGGAGAGATTGATAACTGACTGAGGCTTTATTTATCGAATCAACTGCAAACACGTGTAATAGGAATGATTCAACACCTGTCCCTGTCCCAGATATCTGGAAAATTCTACTACCCCAACGACGACAAATAGGAGAGAACAAAGAAAACAACTATAAAACTCAGGTTTCGAAGTCGTGTGATTATAATTGATGAAATGATTATGAACAATAATAAATTGTGTTCGAAACCTTGTCATCCAGTAAACAGTAATACTGTTTCACTGTGTGATACATCTAATAAACAAACTAATATGGAACTTCTTAGCTATAGCTTGAAACCCTCCGTTCCACTCGAAATGCGAAGGAATAAAAAAAAAACATGCAGTTGACAATGGGTTGCATCTATCGTGTGTTCGTGTGTGTGTGTGCGCGCGCATGTATGTGAGGGCTAAAGTACTACCTGTCTGCCTAAATTACATTAGGTGAAATTGCATTCAAACCTCTGTGAACCAGTCATTGAAAGTGGAGAGTAGTCAAAACAATGAGCCAAAACTCCACCCTTATTCCCAAAATTGATTTTCCTTTCTGGTCAAACTACATTGTTGTTGTAGCTAATCATATCATCTGAAATTGTCTTACACGTGATGTAAATTTTGAAAGATGCATAGAAGAAACTTTACTAAATCTCTCTTTTCCTAAATTGGTAATTTAGCCCTTCACCTTGAATTGATTATGTCATCTCTTAATAAACGTAAGTGTAGTAGGTCATTTCCCATTCTTACTTAGTTACGTCAATGCCTATTGAATCTTATGCTTCAGTATAATCTGATATCTGACTAAGCCAGCTTAATCCACTATGATATTACAAGTACATCCAACTGACGAGTCCCGAATGGGACGAAACGCTCGTTCAAGACTCCATTGCTACTACCTACCATGAATCAAATAATACTTTTTCTTTATTTAATTCATGTTGGACTTTCCCGTTGGTTAATTGGACTGAATGTTCGGTGTCTCAGGTAGGCATGTTGGCTCCTTGTGCAGATGCTTAGCCAATGTCTGAGGATTTAACTTTTGAAGTAATTTGGTGGATGGGATGGTGACTACCAGTGAAACCTAAGATGCGCATTTCGTCTCGTTTGGGACTCGTTATCTGGATATACCTGCATTATTATCAAGTGAGTCAGTGATAATGTTCCCCTTGGAGACTCGAACCCCAGTACCTATAGTTCCAAACACTAAGGCGTTATCCACTTATACCACTTTGGGCCACGAGAGCTATCCACCTCTTGTGCAACGGATATCACCAGTTCTTACTTAATTCGATTTGGTCTCTCCCGTTGATTGTGACTGCATCGAAGTACTGGGTTTGAGCCTAAATGGGAATACTATCGGTCACTGTGGAACGAAGGTACATCCAGTTGACGAGTCCCAAATAGGACGAAATGTGCATCCTAGATGAATTCTACTGCTAGTCACTATCCACCAAAAATACTTTTTTAATTGGTGGATGGTGACTAGCAGTGGAATCCAGGACAACGTGCATTTCGTCCTATGTGGGACTCGTCATCTGGATGTATCTGCATTCCACAGTGAGTGATGATGTTCCCACCGGGACTCGAACCCAGTCCCCATAGTTTCAAACGCCAAAGCATTATCCACTAAACCACTTGGGCCACGAGAGCCACATATTTCTTGAAATTTAGATTTTTGGCGTCGATTGATTGGACCGAAGTGCTCGGTGGGAACATCATCACTCACTGGAGAATGCAGGTACATCCAGATGACGAGTCCCAAATAGGACGATTTACGCGTTGTCCTGGATTCCGCCGCTAGTCACCATCTACCAATTAACCTCTAATTACATGCCTAGACATCGTAGAAGCATCTGCACAAGAAGCCGACAGACATGTCAACCTGAGACCGACCACTTCGGTCCAATCAGTTGGCGGGAAAATCTAAAATTCAATTAAATAAACACTTTTTTGTTTCAATTTCACATGAAGATTAAAGCAAAAGCTTAAGTCATTCATTAAAAATTAATTATTTATTTATTTAATTCTAAGATATAAAAAAACATTGAAAATAATTTAAAAGTACACGTTAATAATAATAACAATTGAGATTATAGGTGTTAGAAGAAGGAGGCAGAAAGTAAGTAAGTAAGGAAGGAAGTTAGAAAATGTATTTGACAGGAACTTCAGCTCAGCTCAAGTACATATTGAATAAATGAAATACAAAGAAAAAGGTTAAACTCCAATATCTTTAATACTGTTCATCATGTTCAAACATGCTGAGAATTATGAATACAAAACACTTTTGTACGTTTCCTTGAGCATTTCGTTTGTCAATCTTTAAATACATGTGTGCTTGTGCGTGTGCGTCTGTGTCTACTCTGGTGATATTTGTATACCAGTGGGTGTAAATATGATTTTAATTAGTGGATGGTGACTAGCAGTGGAATCCGGGACAACGCGCATTTCGTCCTATTTGGGACCCGTCATCTGGATGCACCTGCATTCCCCAGTGAGTGATGATGTTCCCACCGGGACTCGAACCCAGTGCCCATAGTTTCAAACGCCAAAGCGTTATCCTGGATTCCACTGCTAGTCACCATCCACCAATTGACTTGAAGTTACATGACCAGACATCGTCGAAGCATCTGCACAAAAAACCGACAGACATATCAACCTGAGACCGAGCACTTCGGTCGAATCAATCGATGGGGGAAAAATCTAAAATCCAATTAAATAATTAATATGACCCGTTGCACAAGAGGTGGCTCTCGTGGCCCAAGTGGTCTAGTGGATAACGCTTTGGCGTTTGAAACTATGGGCACTGGGTTCGAGCGTCGGTGGGAACATCATCACTCACTGACTTGGGAGTGCAGGTACACCCAGATGACGAGTCTCGAACGGGACGAAATGCGCGTTGTCCTGGATTCCACCACTGCTAGTCACCATCCACCAATTAACCTCTGAAGCATGCTAAGTCTTAGTTCTTCTAAAACTATTTAAATACTGTTTAAATGAGATTCTTAGGGTTGTGATTTGTTCGCTAGACGAACAACTTATACGTTGAAATGGGACTATTTTTGTAGAAATTTTCATGTATCTGCAACATACTGGGAATGACTTGTTTTGTCATATATAAATATATAAATATATTTGATTCATCTCCCTCTTTCTGCTCTTCTACTTTCCACTCACTCAAGGTATCGAGATCGTGCTCGTCGTCAGCGTCCACCTACGCGTATTGAACCGATCATCACTGAAGAATCATTATCGGAACAATTTGAAGCAATTGAACAACAGTGCAATGCGTATACAGATGTGAATACAATTCCAGCAGCAGAAAATAATTTAGCTAATGTGCCTTACAATCTACGTCGTAAACATAATAATAATAATAATAATAATAAAATCCCGCTACTGCTACTGCAACACAACGCCAACAATCGTCCTTACCTATCGAAGCTCCACCTCCACCGCCTTTCTGTCTTTCACCACCACCACCACCAGCAGCATCAATTTCATCCAATACAAGATCGAATGAATTGAATACTATTCAGCATAATGATGAAAATTCCTTAGAAAATTCTTATGATGATTTTATGGATATTGTGTTCAATGAGGTAAGCGATATTTCGAGTAGTGTGCATCAGCGTTTGTGCATTGAATGTTAAATTTAATTTAAGTGGTGACACAGGTGATAAGTATGTAACAACAGAAGAAGACAAGGGCCAGACAACAGATCGTTTATTAAGGAAAATCAACACATATTTATAGATTTTAATGTACATTATTGTAGATTATTGTTAGTATAAAAGACAGTCTTTTGATTGGTTGTTTCTCACAGAAAGTTAACCTTGCATCTCTTTGTGGCTGTGTCAGATCATGCATATGCTAACTGTATCCGCCCGCCTACGCAAAGCCTTTGTTCTCATTTTCTCACCACCAATATTGGGGACATTGACGTCAATTACTGTCTACGAACTTTGGCTAACAGCCAGCTCTCACCACAAGTATATGTATGTGTGCCATCGCTTGCCATTCTCATGCTGAATAACTAGTCATTTTATGCCATCTTAATGAATTTTGAATGACACATGCTAGGATGCTAGGAGACCCAGAAACTAAGCAAAATTTTGGCTATAGTTCAATTTATTCCTCATTTGATTGGTTGGAGGGTTTCATCATGATCTGACATCAGTTAGACAAGCATTGGAAAGCCAGCAAGGAGAGTACTGGATAGCCAACTGTTTCGTCAGCCTAGTTTGGAGCTCTTCATCAGTATGCACCACCTCACCATAGGAGAAGGAGGGGGTTCGAACCCAGGACCTTGTGGTTAAAGGGGCCAGCGAGCTAGCTCGTAAACCATTCAGCAGACACTGTCACCCGACGCGATCCAATGGCCAGCCAGTCCATGAATTCTAACTTCTGCCAGTTGATGACATAGTGCGACCACTTCGTAATGTCTTCGTTACTGCCTCACACTCAACCTGCTGTGTATCTTACTGGTCACAGCTTCCCATAAGAACCCTAAGTTAACTGCCTGAATAGAACCCCAGTTGCTAGTGAGCATCAAGTGACCTAAAAAGTTCGATCTTGTAAACCTCTGCTTGCCTAATATACGTATATATATATATATATATATATATATATATATATATATAAGATTTTACGAGTTGATCACGGACTGATATCAATTAGAGAACCATTGAAAACCAGGGAGTACTGGACAGCTGCTGTTTCATCCTAGTTTGGGAATCACCGGCAGTACGCACCCACTGGGATTCGAACCCAGGACCTTCCGGTTACAAGGCAAGCTCGTATACCATTCAGCCACTGGGACCCGATTCAATGGCTCATGAATTCTAACTTCTACCAATTCGTGATTTTAGCGCGACCCCAACTATTGTCGTGGGAATGGTATACGAGCTTGCCTTGTAACCGGAAGGTCCCGGGTTCGAATCCCAGTGGGTGCGTACTGCCGATGATTCCCAAACTAGGATGAAACAGCAGCTGTCCAGTACTCCCTGGTTTTCAATGGTTCTCTAATTGATATCAGTCCGTGATCAACTCGTAAAACAGAACTAATCCTTACAAACCAAACTATAGAAAATATATAAGATTGTCAAGCGAGTTCATCAGTACTTTAGCAATGTGAAAAATATGTTGTATCCATGTCGTTACTGATTGATATAGACTGAATAAGACAAGAAAGACAAATGTGTACCAGGCTAATATGAGCTGATTTTTCCTTATTATTTCAAGGATTCTTCTCAACTGGCTGCCTACAACCAGTACAATACAAAAGTATAAATAACATTAAAGATTTTCAAAACACACTTTTTTTCCACAATTGCTTCTCGGCTGTCTATCAGCTAAGATCATATGTAGTATCTGTTCTTTGCAGTGTATAATTTCTGCAACGATCTCTAAACTGAGACCAATGAAATTACCTGTAGTTTTCGCTTACGGACGGGTGCTGTGAGCTTGTTCAACTCCGTCCACGGGTCGGCCTCGTACTGCATTACCTCGAGGATTCGCCCCATTAATTGTGTGTGTGTGTGTCAGTGGCACAGTGGTTAGGACACTCGCCAACCGCGCCGATATGGTCTGGGGTTCGATCCCCTGTCGACGCACACCTGATATCAATTGGTTGGTTGTTCGGCCTACGAAATTTGGCCTACCGATATCACATGCTGAAAATTTCATACTTGTACCAAAATGTACTGTGTGGAATCAAGCTATAATCAAATAATAATAATAATAACGACAAAGAGAGTAATTGATGGCAGGAACTAAGAGTAACATTAGTCAGTAATGATGTAAGTTGTTAAATAATTAAGCGTGAAAAGGATTGACTACTTTTAGGCAAACTGAACGACAAAAGGATAGAGTTACACAGATTTTTGTGGATAGAAACAAACAAAATTCAACTAGAACGAAGAGTGTAACAGTGTTGTAATAGTTGGTTGGTTGGTTGGTTACACTTAACTGCAGAAAACATGTTTCTACATATTATTATAATATTATTGTTCCCTTGGGTTCCTACTGGAACATAGGGCTTCAACTGCACGTCTCCACTTGCTTCTGTCTTCTGCTGTACTTTTCACTTGCATCCATGTTAGTCCATACTGTTTCAACTCCTCTTCACACGATCTCCTCCATGTCACCCTTGCATTGACGTCCCACTCGCCGCTTCCCTTTCGGGTTCCACTCGAGCTATGGCCTGACGCGCGATGTCACCCAGCGGCCTCCTCAGCCAGTGAGTGTCCAATCCATCTCCACTTTCTCCTGCATATTTGTTGGGCGATTGGTTCTTGTTTTGTTTGTTTCCATAGTTTCTTGTTGGTGATTCTTTCCGGCCATCTGATCTTGAGCATAGAACGAAGATAGCTGTTGTTGATAAAGGTCTGCAACAGGCTGTTGAAAATATTTTTTGTGACCCGCTGCCAAGTTTCTGATCCGTATAGAAGAACTGACTTGACTTGACTTGTATTGAAAATCCGAATTTTGTTGTTGATGCAGGCTGAGTGACGAAGATTTCCAGATTGGTTTCAGGTTGATGAATGTGTTTCTCGCCTTTCCGATTCTCTATTTGACATCCTCGTCCGTTCCTCCTGTAGTTGAGACAATGCTCCCCAGATAAGTGAATGAAGTAACCTCTTTCAAATCCCTCCCGTTGATGGTGATTGGCGCTGGATGTTGCTGTTGTTGTTGTCGTTGTTGGTTGGTTGGTTATTTTCATAACCTCCGTCTTGTCTATGTTCACCTGGAGTCCTGTCTTCTCTGGCTGCTTCTTCGACCAGTTTGTCGGTTTTCGCTTGTAAGTCTTCGATTTTGTCCTGATGTTACATGATTGAAGGCAATTGTTAGGATGCCTTGCTTGACCTAGGTTTCGTGCTAGTTACCACTCACCAGTCATCTATAAAACACAAAATTATTGAACAAAGAATATCCTTTCCGATAATTATCCCCTCTTCTGGCTCTACACTTATACATATATGTATAGTATATATGTATGTATATGGATATCTGTATGTATATATAGTAGTCAGTAACAATATTAGCGTTTTTCAAATACTATCGATTTGTAAAGTAAGATCACAGTGGAATTACAGTTCATTAAAGATGCATAAATTACAATAATAATAAAGATATAATAGCAAATAGAATATCAACTAAAATTAAGGAAATTTCCACAATCAATTGAGGATCATCCGAACCTAGATGGCCAAGGTAAGGATAATGTCTGAACTTGCTTCTTTTGGACACATAAGTTGGCCTTCTTGAAGTGGATCCTAACGGCTCCAGCAATATTTAGTCAACGAACTCTTAAAGCGAAGTTAAGTTTTTTGGTGTGCAAACGTACAAACTCACTCAGGTAGGACAAGCTCTGTAGGTTAAAGGACCCAGTGGACCCAATTAAACAAAATAATATAATTTACAAAATACCCTGCAATGACTGTGGGTAAGGTCAACTACATAGGTCAAACTAGTAGATCAGGAGTAGTGAGATTATCAGAACATAAGAATTTAGCTAAGGTTAAAATGGTTGACCCCACCCGTGAAGATAAGTAATTTAGAAAAAAACTCAGCTATTGCACTGCATGCATTAACACACAACCACACAATAGCATGGTGGGAGAGGGTTAAAATTCTAAAAAGTAATATAGGTAGGTGGAGAGAGAGAGACATTGATTACTGAATCCTGACTGGTTCATCGAGTCTACACCCAACACAACACATGCAACAGAAATGACTCAATGCAAATACCAGAGATATGGAAGATATTATTACCACCAGTCAGTCAAATCACAGGAGGATAATAAATAATCTTAAAATTCTATTTCAATTCAAGCACATCACAACATTCTAACAAGTTACTCATTTATTTTGTCTATAAAAACACTCGTCTTATTTCCCATTATTGTAATTGACCAATAACACTCATATTATTATTTCTGAATGTACATTATCCCATATTGATTTTTATTCAAATGTGCTACCTCGACTGAAAGATGAAGTACCTAGACTAGCCACTTCCAATTGTATCTACCAATTCAACTGCGCTTGTGGTGGAGCGAGTTATATTGGCCGTTGCTCTAGGAACTTGATTTTTCGTGCTCGCTCGAGAACATCTCCCACTATGGCTAAGTAAAGGTGTAGTGAAAACCATTAACAGTTCGATATTGGACCATCTGGTGTAAACCGGCCACAAAGCCAGCCAGCGTGGAAGAATCCTTCTCTATCATCTACCGGGTGCCTAATAAATTGACAAAATCATCGAAGTACCGCATGCTACAAACAGCAGAGGCTATTGCAATTCGCGTTAAACAACCAGTGCTCTGTGTTCAAAAGAAGCAAGTCCAGCCCCTACTACTGCCCTGTCCGGCCTTCAGTAGAGACTATAAACTCATTTTTTTATTCCTTCACGTTCCTAGTGGAATATAGGGCTTCAAGCTCGATGATTGAAGTTTCTGTAGCAGTGTTTATTTTTACAGGATGGGGTTGCTAGCCTCATACCCAACCTTCCCTCTTTACTAGTCTTATTACTGGCTTATCGAGGTAAAGGAGTGTGTCGGCCAGGGATCGAACCCCGGACCATGTGCATGGTCGGCGAGCGTCCTAACCACTGTGCCACCGATGCACTAAATTGGAGACAACCGGTAGGAAGCCTTGGACCTAGGTTTCGTGCTATTTGGCACTCCCCATTCAGCAAGGCTTATCTGCAACCTCGAAGGAACTCATGTCCCTTCTGAGATTCGAACTCGCGTCACCTAGTGCGGCATGTGCTGTCTTTCACTTGCGTCCATGTTATTCCATACTGTTTCATCTCCTCCTCACACGATCTCCTCCATGTCACCCTTGGACGTCCACTCGCCGCTTCCTTGGTCGGAGACGTTACCACTAAGCTATTCGGGCTCAATAAACTCATGAATTTGTAATATTATCTTTCGTAATTTTTCTGACATTCAGCTTATTTTATGTTGATGCTGTTGAGCTGTAATCTATCAACATTATTGATTCGATGTTATTTAAACAACATTAATGTTGTTCATAACACTAATTCATTCATTCACTATAATGTATATATAACTGTAGAGCCTGATGATGAAGTTATCGAAAAGAGTACTCTTTGTTCTGTGTCCATTCTTTTGAAAATGTCTAATCATCAATTCCACTCATGTATATAAATGAAGGAAAAAAGTTGTGTGAGTGAGTGACTTGATATGATTATGAGTAGCAATAATTTGTGCTCAAAGTGTGGTCATCAGTTAATACTTACTTACTGTATAACAAACACTGTGTGTGATTTATCAAAATAAAATCTTATCTATAATGGAGTTATATACTCAACCAGCACCACAGTGCCCAAGTTTTATGCTTTATATCAATTCTCCAACTGATGTCAGCTCATGATGAAATTCTCCAACCAGTCAATCAAACAAACAAAAAAAAAGTCCCTACGAAACCAAAACTTGAAAATTCATCTTTATTTTTGTGAATTACCTGGTCATTTTATTGTTGTTTTTGTTCTTTTTACAGTCTTTTCCAATCTCATCAGAATGAATCTATTGTGAATCCAGTACGAGAATGGTATGTATGGTGCTGTTTATTCGTCGACTTGTTCCTGCTGATGCTACTGCTGCTGGTACCACTATATTTTTGTGTCTTCGTATTCTCCACTCACACACCTCTCCCCACCGTATCACTCTCATCAGTCAGTGTTCTTCTTCATCATTGTCAATATATATACAAAAAAGTGGAAATTAAAAAATGTTCTTCTGTGTGATGCACACATCTCACTAACCAACATCAGCAATGGGGATAGGCGGCATTATACAACATACACACGGCTTTGTTTACACAACACACAAATTCTTGTAAGACGACTCATGTTGAAAAGATACAATGTTGTTGCTGCTGTTGTTATTGCTTCTGCTGCTGCTGCTGCTGATGCCGATGATGGCGATGATGATGATGATGTTGATAAGAAATATCCTCCCCAGCCCCCTTCCCACCCCAATCATAATCATTACCGGGATATATCGTGCAAATCTCTATCTAGTGAGTCACATATACTACTAGTAGTGGGGAGATCACGTTAGTAGTAGTATAAAAATATGAAACAGTGAAGAAGAAAAAGACGCTAATTATAGAAAAAAATTGTGATGATTCCTTATATTTTGTGATATAAAGCAGAAGACAAAGTCGACAAATCCACACCCTCACATGTACACACACAAACACACAGATAAACACAGATACACAGACAGATGTGCGCATACACAAAAGAGAATTTGTCTTTTACAATATGATAATTGTGTGTGTAGCTTAAAAGAGATTATTTATTTGCTATGGAATTTGTTACTATGCGTTTATACACAACATCATCAGACAGTAAAACTCTAGATCGATATATATGTGGTTGTATACTTTTTGATTGTCGGACATAGAATGAGAGAGGCATGAAGTAACTTTTATTTTTTTCTGTCTTATCCTGCTATCTCTATCACATTTAAGCATTCTTTCATTTTGGCTTGCTAATAATAATAATAATAGACCTTGATTAATTTTGACAATTTCCCTGAAGAGTAAGTAACTGTAGCACTCTACACCTACACCTATACACAACATTATATAACGCTTACAAATGTGACAAGTTGTCATCTGTCTGTACACACATCTGCGTGTTTGTGTGCATGCAAGAGTATATTCCTTCGTATATATATATATATACATATATATTTTTCTGATATAATATCTTGTCGATGTTTAACTTGCGTGTCTACTCCTTTCTCTCTCTCTCTCCCTCCCTCCCTCTGTCTCTATCTCACTATTGAGATGGTTAGGTTGCCGAGGAGGGGGCGGGTGGAAATCCACAGAAAAGATTTTTGTCTCTCTTTTATCACTATTTTTTCACATTATATATATAGTAGTAAAGAGTATCTTTATTGTCATTATCATTATTGTTATTATTATTATTACTGCTTTCAGAGATTTTCTATAACTAACTGGCTAACTTCTGAGATTAGCTGTACACAATAGAGTAAATAAAACAATAAGCAGCATCGAAGAGATAACTCTATACACACTCTCTATTCTAGATGTCATTTCCGCACCGCCGCCCGTCCTTTTAATAATTATCCGTTTATAAACGAGTAGAGAGCGTACAAATACGCATACCAATATTATGATAGATTAACAATAAATTTTTTTACCCCACCCCCTACCACCACGTTTATTTTATTCATCAGATGCTTTATGTGATTTGTCATTTGGTGTATTTTTGTTTTGTTTTTGTTCTCATTTTGCATTTTGCTTCATGTAACCGATGATGACGGTGCAATTTTGTGCAGCCCTGTGTGTCTGTCTGTTCGCCTGTCTCTGTGTGTGTGTGCGTGTGTGCATACATACGTGTACTTGATTTGTGCCCATTTACTCTGATTACCCAACCATTTTTGCAACTTACATCTGTTGTTTTTTATCTACTTTTTATACTACTGCGAATGATTTAAGTAATATAATATGTATTGCTTAAAAAAATTGAAAAAAGCGCCTCATCTTCGTCATATTTTTAACTTATTATTTTATTTTAAATATTTAAATATTTACAAACACATACACATACATACAATGATGTTACCTATAATTTTTTTCCAATAATCCTGTGAGTTTCTTTTTCATTGTGTTTTTGTTTTGTCTCTTGACAGTATGTATTTGTCGAGTGGTAGTAGTAGTAGTAGTAGTTTCATTCTACTGTCTGTCTGTGTCTATCCATCTGTGTTATCCATCTTCATTAGCATCTTTTGTCTACTGACAATGGTAGTTAGTAGTATAATATAAAGACACGAATATACAATGCATAGAAGTGTACAATATATATAATCTTGACCGAACTCTTGTTGTGAAATGAAAAGATACACCACGGGAAGAGAACATGCATTGGTGATGACGAAGATGATGATGATGAGAACAATTTTTTTACTGCAAGCTGGTTATTTTCAATACTGACTGACTACTAATAAAAAAATAAAGACGATTCTGGGTCATATATAAAAACAGCATAGTTGTCTAATCATATATTGCGTTCTCGTTTTTATGTCTATCTGTATCTATGGGTTTGTGTGTGTGTGTGTGCATGTGCACGTTCGTGTATATCGTGGCTAACAACTAGCTCCTTAATTAATTAGTAGTTTGTCGTGTATGCTATTTTATTTCTGCATAAAACTCTACTGCACTTTTATCTTTTATCATCCATATGTATTTGAATTCATTTTCTTATAAAATGTAAAACAAATAAACTACAGAAAAAACCAAAAACAATCTTCCGAAGCAGATAAATATTTGTTTTCTTTAAAAAAAAGAGAGAATTTAATACACTCTAATGTCTGCTGTATATTTCTTCTTTGATTGATAGGTGTACATACCCCCCCTTTTTTTTAAACAAAATTCATGTTTATATATCCCATCCCAGAAGATTTCACCTTTTTCTATACTCTGTGTGTGTGTGTGTAGGGTTTTGTTGTATCTGGGCTTCAATTTTCTTTCTCTTGTCCTATGCTCTCATCTCTCATCTATGCGTGTGATACTACTATTCCGGTTGTTTTCTTTTTATTATTATTATTATTATTGCTGTTGTTGTTGTTCTAGTGTCTGTGTTCCACTCATCTTATTGGCTGGATGAATAGGAAAAAAGAGGGAGCGTGGGAGGCGGGGGCGGCGCGAAGAAGAAATGCCTGTTTCCTACCGGTATCACTATTTCACATTAAGTATCAAGATAATTATTACTAGTATTATTATTATTATTATTGCAATGACATTTTTTCTACTATGGTGGTATTTTATGATCGTGGACGTACCTTGTACACTCAACGCGCGCACATACACACACAAATACACATTGATACACACACATTTTCATGATAATCATGTTGTATTATTGGTGTAATTCTTTTATAGATAGGAAATTACTGAAAAGCAAAAGGTTATTTTATGTGATCGCTTATTGTGCTCTGTTTGAAGATGGAAATCTCTGTCTCTATGTGTGTCTTTCTGCCGTTATTTTTCCCTCCTTCACCCCTAAACACACCCTGTATCTTTCTCTGTGTTCTTCAATGACTATTTTTGATGCCACTCTCCCTCTCCTTTTGTCGTTATGTCGTTGTTGCTCTTGTGGTGGTGGTTCTTGTCAATAGATTTGTCCAGATATAAGATTCATGATTTCTATTATATATTAATATTATTGTCGTTATTACATAATTTTATTGTTTGCGCCTAACTCTATGTGCTCATAGAAATCATCTTTGCCAATTTCTTTTTCTATTCTGTTTTATCATTGCCTTGATAATAATATTCATTTGTGTGTTTGCGTGTGTGTGTATTTACACTATGTGCGCCCTTTTCCCCAGTGTTCGCCTTCTCTTTTCGTGCTCCCTGGCTCGCTCGCTCGCTCGTTCATCCGCGAGCGCTCACGTGTGTCAGTGTGTTCCTGTCTTGTCTCTTAATAATGTAATGCCATTATTATTATTATTAATATTATTACTATTATTAGTTATAATTGTTAGCGCTGTTATTTTTGTATAACCTAGGGTGAGAATGTGTTTCCGTTTTTCGTTGATTTTTCTTTGTTAGAGGCGTTTTTTTCTATCTTTTTTGCCTTAATTATTATCCTCGTTTTATTGTGTGTGTGTGCGTGTTCTGACTTGTCGTCTTGTTTTCCTTGATTGTTTTCATTCACTCACACATGTATTGTTAGTATTATTGTTGTTATTGTTACCGCTATTATTATTATTACTATCATTTATTATTGATAATTATTATGATAATATTTTAAATCACATTTTATTTGTCGCTTTTTCATAAATCATACATAAAAAAACATGAATTAAATAAATAAATAAATAATTTAAAAAAATATGGTGTTTCATTTTTTTGGCGCCGTTTGAATCGAACACAGAAGCTTAAACTTTTAGTGGTTATAAAACTGACTACTAGTAAGTAGTTCATATTTTTTGAAGTAAGTTTTTAGTAGGCAGGAGGACTGATTACGTGAAGAAATAGTGATAATTTTTTTTTAACAATGGTTAGTTATGGTAGGATTGATATGTCAAACAGAGTGATAATTAATTAAGAAAATTAATGCAACAGTTATTTGGAGTAGTTGGTTAAGTTAAGTATGGAGGAAAAAATTCGGGCATTGCAATGTATTCACTTGCATGTAGTCACTTAATTTTTGGTGGGATAGTAAGGTAAGAGTATCAGGTGATTGACAACGGGAAGTGAATACAGGAGTAAGACAAATCTGTCTGCCTGCTATCACCGATGATGTTCTTAATCGTGATGAGCGACTGGATTATGCGTCGGACTGTGCATTGGGAGTGAGAAGACGGGAGTATGTTGGACCACTGATAAGAAGACTCTATAAGATATGGATTTCGTGCGTCAATGATTTATGTTTAATGTCATACAAGCTCGAACACTTGTAGGTGAAAACCAAAAAACTGGCAGAAGAAGCAGCCGGTGAAGACAGGACTCTAGGTGAACATACAGAAGACAGAGACGATGAA